ATACCACATTAATCCGCAATATTTGAGTTTCTGTCAGCCGTGGTTATGAAGATTTCTGTCTTCTGATACATAACGCCGTGTATTCTGAAGATGGTGACATTTTTTCGAAATGTCGGTTGATTTTCAACGGACTACACGGCGTTATATCCCAGAACAGATTTTTTTTACATCAACCTATCTCTGAAGTATTTCGCAGCCCCCAACTTCCGGTACTAAGTTTCGTCGTAATTTGTTTCTTGGTTTCGACCACAAAACATATGTGTATGGCCTGGCGAAGACATCTTTTCTTCATGTAGTTCATGCATAGACGAATACCAAGACTTTTCATTGTGTGGTCCTTGATACACAAAACATACGACGAATTTAAGAAGTTTCAAATTTACAAGGAAACACTATTTCATGCCGTCTTCCTAAAAGTACTAAAGTCTAAATTATCTTAGCACGTTTGTTACTTAAACTGTGATTCAAATTAATAATCGGGGACCATGGATGTTTGTAAACTAACCCCCTGTCTCTTGGTGTTATCTCAACGGTTGCAACAAGGTTTTATGATGCAGGAGACGAAGAGGCGTGTACTTGAGGCTTCCCTTTATTACCTGACGCAATAAACACAAAAGTAACAGGGAATCTTATTGGAGCTCTTGAGGACTGTTTAGCATGTAAATTTGCAATCACCGAGAACTTCTCGAGAGAAACTTGTCTGCAGTATTCCCTACGTATCTTTACACACACTCAGGCTGTAATATTCTTCCTATGCATGTAGAACGAGCTAAGTCCTATTTCATGTAGCAATGTCACATTTCGGTTTGCCGGTTAGGCTGTATAACACGCATGTTTATGCCCCATACAACCAACACATCTATGTACAGCTTAACCTCGAAAATTCGAATTGATAAAAACGTTGATGTGTTCGGACTATGAAATCGTTCAAATTACTGGATTTCAAATTTAAAAAATTATAATTCTTCAACAAAAGTATTTATTCCTGACTATAGATAAACAAACAAAACCAAAAAACAAAATCCGTGGCTTTAGTCCGCAAGCGAACTACACCGAAGCGAAGTTAGTGCCAACTTTATCGGATGGATGGTGTCGCCTGGTAGCGCAACGAATCCCCACGGCCGTTAATTTCGGTTTTATAGACCGGAGCCGCTATTTCCTTGCAATAGCTCGTCAGTTATCGTCACGAGGCTGAGTGGACCCCGTTCCAGACCCACTACTTCTCAGAAAATCTGGTATCGCCGGGAATCGAACTCAGGACCTCTGGATCTATAGCCAGGAACCCTGACCACTAGACCACAGAGGCGGTCCAAGAGTATGGATACATTTTATATATAAAGAACCCCGAATTTGTATGCAACCCTCGGACGTTGGGCTTCCCAACGAGCTCGGGGCAAGCGGTAACCGAGTTACGTCTTTCGCTGCCTGAAGAGGCAGGTTCAGTAGCACGTTGTATGATGTTTCACAATAATCCATTTTCACTGCAAGAAAATAAAGATATTTCAATTGAATTGGCAATTTTTGCATAGCTTCCTTTTTCGTATGTGTGTGTGCTGTAAATGAGTTCGGTTTACTGGGAGTTCGGATTGGCGTGGGTTCGGAGGTCCTGCTGTAAAATGAACGTATCTGTCTCGTATCCTGAAGGTCCTCATATATAGTTTGACGTCCATGTTTCCTGCACATGTTACTGAGCTACTGATCTCGAACTAACACTTCAGTAGCCACTCTTCAAAACATATAAAATATTTGCAAACTTTGTGCTACTTTGATTTACACAGACGTTGACTCCGTGGCTGTATCCATACTGAGGTTTGTTCGTATTGTGTGAAGTAACCGTCAGTAGAAAATAGTTAAGTGGTGACGTCATTATGATTGCTTCACGCCGTGTGAAAGACCTTTATTATTATTTTGCAAAAGTAAGGGATATTGACAAAAGGGAAGGTATACTATGCTCCAAAAAATCAGTACTGAAATGAAATGATACCACTATCTATTCATGTGAAGGCCCCTTGCACAACAGAACCTTCTCAAATCCTGAAGAAATTGTCCGATCACCATGTCCCTGTAGCGTTCTTGGGTGGTGGTAAGAGCATCTCCTTCCTCGTCCTCAATGAAATAGGGGCCTAATATACCGCGTGCTGAGACGGCACACCATAGCGCCACACGTGTACTGTGTAGCGGTTTCTGGATGATAACATCTGGCCGCACAAAACCAAGGAAGCGAGTTGTCTGGCGACCACTTCCGTATGAGCGGAAATAATACTCAACTATGAATACTTTGTCCTCCGTCGAGAGACCAATTTCCAACAACAACTGCACAACACAACTTCCTTTTCACTACTGGGAACACGTGTGGCTGGAGCTATGCCCCGTCGACAAACGCACATGCGCGTTCGAGATGCGCGAGTTTCAGTACTGCAATTTTGCCGCACTCTGTATTTGGAAGCAGGTTGCCGAGGAGAATATTTGGACTTTAGAAAGATGAAGTGACAGGAGGTTGGAGAAAACTACATTATGAGGAGCTTTATAACTTGTAAATTTCGCCGAATATAATTAGAATGATCAAGTCAAGGAAGATGAGATCGATAGGGCATGTAGCACGAATGGGGGAGAGAAGAAAAATTCATATAGGATTGTCGTGGGAGAGCCAGAAGGAAAGAGACTAGAACGAAAACTCAATAGTACGTGAGAGTATAATATTAAATGGGCATTAGAGAAATAGAATGGGGTAGTGTTGACTGGATTGATCTCCCTCAAGATAGGGATCGGTAACGGGCTCTTGTGAACACGGTAATGAACTTTCGGTTTCCGTAATATGTTGGGAAATTCTTATGTAGCTAAGCGATTGGCAGGTTCTCAGGAAGGACTGAACTCCATGGAGTTAGGGGGAAGATAAAGAATAATTATTTTCCATTTGAGAGCTAACACAGCTTAACGTGAATAATTCTATCTTCTGGGATATAACATTGTGTAGTCTTGTGAAAGTCAGCTGACGTTTCACATGAACATATCACGTTCATAATCAGAATCGGAGAGTGAGTCAAGCGAGAAATCAGCATGAAGCAGGCAATAAACAGAGCCAGGCACTGAGAATTGCGAAGACCAACCGGCTGATACTGCTTAGGGAAATACTCTTTGTTTATTCTAATAAGAATACAAAGCACACATAAAATCTTATGCACATTATTTTAATACAAAATTATGTGATACATTTAATAACTACTGTGGTTTGAAGAATTAAAAATCGAACGCTGGTATAGGTCACCACACCTGCAAAAATTCATTCAATAGTTTCGGAGTTCAAACGTGTGGACGGAGAGACACGAACTACTAGGTCTCGCGCAGAGCCATTATAATGGGCTGCGGTTCCGGGCAATTCACTGTGTATCCGTGGCCTTACTCGTGCATGATGCATGCTAATCAGCATGCACACTGTAATGGTGTGGTCGTGCCGTTCAATTACCAGCACTGCAGCATTGGTTGTCAACGGATCTTCTCGGGGCACTTCCATTACTGTTTCTGTTAATTACAGATTATTACATCCGCCATTGCCCTAATTAGCACACAATGGCACAGATATCTCGCGTGGTAGTTACAGTGACGTCACTCTCCGACTCGCCGGGCAGCTGGTCCCACATCGACCTCTCTAGGAAACCAAATTTATTTATCGACAAGAAGTTTATGGAAGAACTAATCACCTACTTTCCTTTGATAAGGCTCATGCTGCAAAGAAAACGACTTGTCCAACAGTTTCTCTATTGTTGCGTGTGTATTCGTTGAAACGATAAAGTTTTTACAGAGCTGTTGCCTAGCTGCGACAGGGAGCTAAAACAGGCAGACACACACGACTGAAGGGATTTATGAAGTAAGTCGTTGAGACGGGGTCGCGTGCCATGATAAACAGATACATTTTCGTAAAGAGTTCTTCAGGATTCAAAAGTTAATAGCGGAAGGTACACAGACAGAAAGACAGAGCCGCTATTTCCTTAAAATAGCTCCTCAATTATCCTCACGAGGCTGAATGGACCCCGTTCCAGACCCACTACTTCTCAGAAATCTCGTAGCCCCGGGAATCGAACCCGAGAACTCTGGATCTGTAGGCAGGAACTCTGACCCCTAGACCACAGCGGCAGTCAATAATAATTATAATTATAATTATAGTTATAATAATTTCATTAACACAAATCTAAGTTGTTAACAAATCTAATAATAATAATAATAATAATAATAATAACAACTCCATTAACACTGTTCATACTTCTCATTGAGAAGTGAGAAAAGAAATATATATTTACATACATGTATATTTATAATGAATATAGTTAATATTTTAATGAGTGGAAGAACTATGTCTGATATAAAATATGATAAAGGGAGCAATTTAATTTTAAATATATTAATATATGACAATAATAATTCAGTCATATTATGTACTTATTGTTTACATAACAGCCCAAATGCCAGTTTTAAATAAACACGAGCAAAAATAGAATAAAAAATATACATACGAACAAAGACAAACCAAGACAGCTTTGACAGTAACAAAATTCATTAACATGAATGGTCCATCAAACACAAAAAA